CTAAACAATAATAATGTATGTGTGTAAAGGCAGTTTAGGTTTATGGCAATATATTGATTATTGAATCACAAAACAACTTAAGCCAGGCTCAGTGGCTCACACCTGTCGTCCCAGCTACCTGGGAGGCTTATGTGGGGGCTGACCCCAGGAATTTGAGACCAGCCTGGGTGATACAGTGAGACCCCATCTCTTAAAAAAAAATTTAATGTCAAAAGAAGTAGAAGGTTAAATCATGCCTTCCTGTGATATGGCATAACCTATGTTCTTCCAGAGGCAATTTTTTACAGATTCTCCAGAGCCCAGCCTAGCAGTTTGCCCAAATATGTCGACTGAATGAATGGCTGCAAGTGAAACAAGTGGGGGATTCTATTAACCCAGATCAACTGTCCAGAGGGTACACTAACATTTGCCAAAAATAAAAAATGCTACAGGGTAGGATTCTTTTGGTGGGAGCCTATCTTACTCAAACATGGATTAAAAAAAACAAGATGTAGACCTATGTAGAGCACCTAGCTCTTCTTTTGCTGTAAACCCTTTCACACCCCACCTTAAGAAAGTTCATCAAGCCCCAAAATGATGTTTTAATGGCCAGAATCTGTGGACTAGTCCATTTATTAGCATTTATTATTCTAACCGTATCATACCTAGTTCTGTCAAACTCTAATAGTTTGTCTTTATGCTTGATAGCCTTTTCCAGACCAGACTTAATTCGCAATTCTTGATGAGGAAGAAGGTCCTTGGTAGAGATGTCCACCTTCCCAGAATTCTCTATCCCTGAAATTCAATAAGGAAATCAAATAGTGTCACGCTACAAATACAAATGAGTTGTATCACTGTACAGCAAAGAACAAAATATCAAAGATCTAGTTCTGGCCTCATGGCCTGGAGCCTTCCTTTCGATGGAAAACAAGTACATAGGTCAGGCCTTACCTGTAAAGCATCAAGCAGTGCTTGACACATAATAGGTTCTCAATAAATATTAGGGTTCTTTTCTTCCATTATAGAAATTTCAATCACCAAGAGTACCAAACTATTTAACAATACAACGTAAAAATGCCTTATCAATGAAAACCTTTACTGAATAGGGCTGAATGTCACCTTTAAATGTATTTTTATATGTCAAAACTAAAAACTGAATAATGGGGGGAAAAAAGAGAAAATTTTTCGCAAAGGGACAGAAATGAATAGTTAATAAGAACCTAAGGCACTTAATAAACATTATTTCTCACAATAACCCTGTAAGACACTTTGTATTATCTTTGTTTTACAAATAAGAAAACAAAAGTTCAGAGATGGTAATAAATTTACTGAGTTCACTCAGATATTATAAGGTAAAAATACACTTTGGGAGGCCAAGGCAAGAGGATTGCTTGAGGCCAGGAGGTCAAGGGTGCAGTGACCTATGACTGTACCACTACACTCCAGCCTGGGCAAGACCCTGTCTCTTTTGTTTTTAAATTTTTTTTCATCAATAACAAGACTCAGACTGAAAGACTCTGTCTCTTAAAAAAAAAAAAAAATTAAAAAAAGAAAAATT